GTAGGTATGTGGGGGCGTGTTAGAACGAGCCGTTTTAGGTAGGTGTGGCTGACTCTTAACTTTTATAAAGAATATCTCTTTGGATTTGAGACTTTAGTCTTTGCAACTTTACAGATCTTCTTTATGCACCAAGAGCTTGTAACACTCCAAAGAGAAAGGAAAGCTTGAAATCGCATCATATGACCCCTTTAAGAGATTAAGGTTACATTTGAATCCAAATTAAAATAATAGCTTTATGACATTTAAAATTAAGATGTGAATAGATGATGTGCTGTTTTAGAAGGAACTCGTCGAGTGTTTTACCTCAGGCATTTGAGGTTTGTCTTCCTCTGTCAGTAAGAATGTGAAGCTACAGGATGAGAGAGGAAAGAAGACCTGGTCAGTGGGTAGAAGCAGGTCTAAGAAATGTAATATAACTTGTATTAAAAGGCTGTTAACTTAATCCAGTAGTCTTTCTGCATTGGTATGTTGCGTCTTACCTTATGTTGGGTGGGGTGACACAGAACTGGTTCCTCCAATCAACACGCACAGCTCCCAAAAACCTGTGCAAACTCTCTTCACACACAGCCTCCATCTCCCACTGAACAACTGGACAGAGATATAACCACATCAGAAGATGTTCACAATATTTTTGTGCAGGTTTCATTTGAACTGATGTTAAAATGTATTGACATGCTATCATTTTGTTTAATTGTCTAAAAACATATTTTCATAATCTCACACATAAAAAAAAACAACAACAACCATTTAAAAAAAAAAAAACACACACACACACACTTTCAGGATTCTGTGCATGTGTAAGTGGGAATCATGATCAGCCTGCCGATGTGGGAAAATCCTGCAGATATCCTCTTTGGAATTCTCCTCACATCTCAAGACTCTCCCTTGAGGACCAGAAAGGAATCACATCACAGTACATACTCCTGTCACGTAAACCTCATGCTTGAAGCTCAGTACATGCACAAACCTTAAAAGCACATCAACGCAAAAGATTGTGAATATTTAATGTAAATAATAACCAGTACTGAATGTCTGCATAGAATGCAGCTACTATAAACTAATTAACTTCACCAGGTCTACTGGAACATGATATTGAGGCATCCCTTCAATAATGCATCACACAAATGATTGATTAGTATATTTGATGATTTTGCTACAAGCTTTGTTTGGTGTTAGCATTGAAGAAAAAAATCATTAATGAGATCTGAACTGTTTCTCCTAGACGCCAATGAAATTAAATGGAGAGCAGGTTTCCCAACAATCTGATTTTTTTTTTTTTTGTCATCAAAGAAAGAAAGCTCACATATGTCTCCTCTTGAGTTTCAGAATCTCAATCTGTGCTCAAATCAAAACATTTGGAATTCATGTCAAAATAAACTTAATAAAGACCATGTTTTCCAAACTATGCTGTTTGTTTGATAGATCTATACTCTTAGTTTGTGTGTATTTTTATTTCTCATATAGACTTCTTAAAAGAGACGATGAACTCAAACATTTCTCATGAGATTCTAATAAAGACCATGCTATCCAAACTATGCTGTTTGTTTAATAGCTCTATACTCTTACCGTTTGTGTGTATTTTTATTATGTAGACTTCTTAAAAGAGACCTAACCGAAAGCTCAATTATCCCTGCAAAAGCTGACATGAAATTATAGTATGATATTAATATGAAGCACTTACTTTTTATTTGAGCAGAAATTTGAAATTTGGTGCAGTTGCTGATATTTATATGGCCAGAAAGTAAGATGATATTCTCACAGCTTTCACAGATTTTTATAATAGTAAAGCAGACTACTTACAAAAAAATACACATGGATATCACTTGTCATTATAAATCTCCCAATAATATAGCTTAATAAGGTTATATTTTAATGATTATTTTTATGTTTAAAGTTCTGTAGTCTTCATTGTAGGGAGCAAATCATATAATGCAATCCAATACAATGATGTTTGAGAGATGAACAAATAAATGTTCTTCAAAAACATGATGTATCACATTTGATAACATGATTTTTCTAAAAAAAAAAAATATTAATGGATAATAAAGTAAACCTACATTCCTTCAGTCCAGTTCATCTTGAAGCATTACTAACAATATAACATTTATTTTTACATTCACTTCATTAAAAAAAAAAAAAAACATTTTAAATTTCACAACAAAAAGATGGCATAACCTGAAGGTGGACATTTTTAGAATTATACTAAAAGGCTTTTTACTTGAAAAAGGTATAAAGTATCAATCAGATGACAGAAGGCATGTAATTGAATGTGTACAACATGTTTTTCAGCAAAGTTTTGATTATGTTGATAATTTGCAGGCCTTAGAAATTTATGTATCAAATATGATGCACGGGGTTAAGACTCCTAAGCTAAGAAAGAGCAACCTCTGAGCAATCGTTTTTTCCTCTGGGAAAGGTCTTACCTCAGTGAAGCATGACAGATTTCAGCATCATTGGATTGGTCACTTGGTGTTGTTGTTTGTGAAAGCCTCACAGATTGCCTCAGAGCGCTTTTATTTGGATGGTGTGGATGTCCCACACTGTAAAAAATGACTGTGAATTTAACGGAAAAAGACTGTAAAAATGATACAGTAAAAGCCTGTTAAATTTAACGGTTAACGGTAAATTCCCCTACTATATACGGTGAAAAACTGTATTGGACATTACCGTATTTTTTGCGGTAAAATTCCGGCAACCACAGCTGCCGTTTTTTTATCGTAAATTTTACGGAATTTTTTTTACAGTGCAAGCTTGACTTGCCAGGCGCTGAAAAATATCTACAAAAACTGGTCTTGATCAGTCCCAAAAACCCTGTGTGTGTGAGAGAGAGAGAGACAGAGAGGACGAGCTTTTGATATGGTGTGATGTGTTTTGACAGATCTGGTGCACTAGGACTCACGTGTAGAGATTCAGAATCAGGGTAGCTATACTGCGGGATTCTGTCCTGATCATGTCCTGTGGAACAGGAAGAAACGTGTGAGCGTGCGACCAGCCAAGCGAGAGGCTAAACTCTGAGAACTGAAACAGTCAACAACAACAACAATAAGAAATGAACTTTTAAGAGAGAATATTATACGAATTTGCCACCAATTCATATAATACGAATTAGCCACCAATTTGCCAAAACGTAAAATAGTTATGAATTGCCATGAGATGGGAGATTTAATTAAGGATGAAATGTGCTTGCTAATAGTGTTGTTTATTTCCAGCTACTGTCTGCGTGGTTTTAGCACAACTGAATGGATTTGCAAAAGTAACAAGGCAAATCAGCACAAAGTGCTTACTTTTTTGTTCTTATTTAAAGCATGAATTTAAGAAAAACATAGTGAGGTTTATGCTTGAAACACAGAGAAATAAAATATTGCAAATATTCGCTAAAAACAAACTTTATTCATATACAATTTAGCTTTAATGTTTGTATGATTTTAAAAATGTTTTTGAATGTCTCTTATGCTCATCAAGCAGTGTTTAATATTGATGGTATACTATAGTTTTTGTTATTAGATTTTATATTAATATTGTCTGTTTTCATTTTTATTTCAGTTAAGGTTTTAGCAATGTTGTTGTTTTATTTTATTCTTTAGCTCTAGTTCTTTTAGTATTTCAAATTAAACAATGAAAACGAGAAATGCTGTTAAAATGAAGTAACCTTTTTATATTTTATTTTTAAGTTTCTATATTTTAAATTGATGTTTTATTTTATTTAAGTTTCTGGTTTTAGTTTCAGTTTAAGTTAACCATAATAACCCTCATGAAGTCTGCTCGTATTTGATTTGAAAATATAGTAAACCAAATGTTTTCTTTTTTAATATTCTGAATCAAGTTAGACAACTCTGTTGCCACCCACATTTTAAATTTAGACCACAGAAATAGGTTGGATTTACTGACTTTTCTCATTAACTTAGTCAGAGGAATCAATCGTTGAATTATTGAACATATGTACATTACAGAGGGGTGGGAGGTGTAAAGAAAATACTAAATCTGGATTTAAAAAAAAAACAGTGAAACAACACGTTGTTGTGCCGAACATAACTTGCTCTGTGGCGTGAAAATAACCATCTGTTACTTTATTTCAAGTCAACAAGTCTACATATCTTGACATTAAATGTACAGAGACTAAGATACTGGATGGATATGAATGTATGATACGTTTGCAGCACTTTTTTATTCCTCAAGAAATACATATTCTGAGTGAGAAAGAATGTTCAAATATGAGTTCTACCAGGAAAGCCTCTATATTAGATTGGATTATAGGTTGAGCAAGTTATTTTCAAGTTATTCCTATTCTAAAACAGCAGCGCAATTCAGTTACAAGTGTGATATTGCATTTATGCAACAGTTGAATAAACAATGCATATTATAAACTTACCTTTTAGACACAATATCGCCGGTTTCTTTGTCTGTTTTGCTCTGACGGTGAAAACACCTCCAAGCAAGCCACATCACGTCGCTGGATGATTAGAAGAATCCTTGGTTTGAATGAATGATTCAATGACTCAGTCATAAAGACAGTGTCGCCACCAACTGGTGTAGTATTGTATCCTGCAGAAAAATCCCAACCACCGACGCACAGACTGACGAATGTTTAAAACGTATAACAGCGTTTATAATAACTGTTAGAATCTATATTTTAGGTTACAAACACCATTCTCTGTATGCAGCACTATTCAGCAACAATACCATGGTATATTAAAGACCTGAGTCATTCCCAGAATGGATCTTTGATGGAGTTGACTCATCTGCAAACATTTGCTTTGAAAAGGATTCCAAGAAAACGTCCCAAAAACAGCACAGCACCTACTTTTCAATGGGAGGCAGTAATTATGTAATTATTCCTGCACTCTAAAAATGCTGGGTTAAATATAACCCAGCGCTGGGTTAAAAAGGGACAAACCCAGCTATTGGGTTGTTTTGACCCAGCGGTTGGGTTGTTTTGAACCCAACCACTGGGTCAAAACAACCCAACCGCTGGGTCAAAACAACCCAATAGCTGGGTTTGTCCCCTTTTAACCCAGCACTGGGTTATATTTAACCCAGCATTTTTTAGAGTGTGTGATGGCCATTACACCAGTCTTCAGTGTCACATGATCCTTTAGAAATCATTCTTATATGCTAATTTGGTACACAATTATTATCAATTATTAATAACGGTTATTATCAGTGTTGAAAACTGTTTATGCTGCTTAATACAGTAGTCAACATTTGAAGTGGATCAAAAAAAAGTTCATAAAAGTTTTCCTAAGACAAGAACGCATTTTGGTTTTAGGTTTTAGGACAACTCTGATGAAAGGTTTTGATCCACTTCAAATGTTGACTAGTGTATTTATTTATTTATTTTCAGTGTATATGTGTCTACCTCTACCAAACTCATTTCAAGACTTTAGGCATAAACCTATAGAAGTGTTATAGATCATGAGAAACAACAATTCAGTCATGCATATCAAACTTTTCATGTCAACATTTCAGGTCTGTGAACATAAATCCTTCTATTTTGGGAACATACTTCTAGAGATCTTTTCCATCCTTTAAGGGTCTTTAATGGCCTAACAGAAGAAACATGCTCATTTTGGTGCATTTTAATGCGCAGTCATCACCAGCAGGCCAGATTAGTTCTGCCAAGTGGACATAACGCATGAATAATGTGTGGCTGGAGGAACAGAGAGACAGAGAGATTGCCCCGCTTATAGTGAAGAGAGTGTCGGTCTGACAAAAGAATAAGGTCATGGAAACAGCTGGCAGACCAAAGCAAAGTGACAGAAAGGCCCCAAGTAAAAAAAAAAAAAAATGTTCTTCATATACTGGAAATGTAGGTTAGAAGTTCTTCCAAAAGAAGAGGTCAAGATTTGCCTGGTTAAAACAGTCCAGTGGGCCCCTGCTGGTAGATGCTGTAACTGCACAATATGGCATGCAGGCATGGATGCATGCATTCATAAATAAAAAGTCATTATAAAAAAAAAAAAAGTAACTGAATTGCTGAAGTGAATTTAAAAATGAAACAATTTTATCATAAAAACTGAGTAAATTTCATAAATAATTACAATGAAACAAGTAACACACTGAATTAAATGTTACATTTTGAAGTAGAAAGACTGAAATGGTAATTTATTATAAAATATACTCCAATAATCTTTGTTTTACAACCTCAAAATTATTTTAAAAAAAATACAGTATATATAATTAACATTATTCAACACTAAGTTCCAGTCATTAAACTAGACTTTTCACCATTTGTATCCATTCCACTTGCCTCTATTTTGCCTCCAGGTCTCTTCTCTGCAGGTTACATGGTTATGCCAGTAGGTGGCGACAAGTGACTGTGTTTGTGGATGAGTCATTGAATTATTCAGTCAAATGATTTATTAAAAAAATATCGATTCATTCAGTCAAGGGAAAAGCTGGGATTTCTGTTCACAGAAGCAGAGCGCAGATTCTATTGCGTAGCATCAGTTTTTTTAACGTTTAAAGAGAGCAAAGTAAGACGGAAGTAGCAAAGCATTTCATATTTGACAATTCTTAAATGATAGAAATGTTAAAATGACAGTAATATCCAGTGATGAAAACTACTCAACCTTTTTTTTCTCAAATATGGCTTTTGCATTGAAAATATGGTATCATTTACATGATTCACGTAATTCCTAATTGAATCTGAAGAGAGAATTTTTTTTGACGCATTAGGCATATAAATTAGAGTAAATAACGTATGTGCATATTTTAAAACATTATTTGCAAATAGTTCAAAATGATTACTTTCCTGCTAGAATTAGGCTAGACCTAGCATTTCCTTCATCGTTCTATTCCTTTCTAAAAAAAAATGTTTTTTAAAAAGGTCCCCAATGTTCAAGACAAAATAGTCCCCAGATGGCCTACAACTTCCGACGAGATTTTGAAGTGTGCATCTAATGGACACTTTACTATCCTGTGAGGCCACAAGAGAGGAGGTTATGAATGGTGGTGAAGCAACACAACTGACACTCGTAGGTCACATGACAGTGACAACATAAAGATTGTAGTATGTCTGAATTTCATTAATTCTACAAACATTCATACTATAGAACATACTTTTTTAATGGTTGCAAAGTAAGTTTCAAAGCAAATTTAGTACCTACACAGTATCCCATTTCGGATGCAACTTTGGTCATTGAATCATTCACTCAATCAATTAATTCCACTGGTAGAACCACTGGTGAGCTAAAATACAAAGTAACTGGCTATAATTTCTGAAATGTAGTTACTCAATATTAAATTCTTGTTTAATGAACTGTTATAAAAGCAATATTATACAGTACCTGTAATCATGCTGTTGTTCTAAACATCAGCACAGCTGTGATTATGGCTGTGGTAAATTTTAAGAAAGCAGATTTGCAGTACAATTCTTGCTGCACAAAATGGGGTATTTTTAAATCAATGTTATTATTCTTATTGTGACTAATGTTATACATCAGATTTGAGCTGTGAGAACACATACAGTGCAGTTTTATATTCAGTGGATGTTTTGAAGTGGCATTCTATAGGATGTTACAGTGCTGTTACAGTGATATATAATACCCCCATGAAAAATGTAATGTCCAGTACTGGAGAGCCTCCCATGGGCTTTCATGAAATTAAAAGACAGTTGGGATACCTCAGTCTCACTGTTCTATTGAACAGAAGTTGTTTCACTTTGATATATTATTACAAGACCATTAATATAAATCTGGTTACGTTGTATGCAATATGGGATTAAAGAGTGACTCAGCTAATGGATATTTTGTCAATGGCCAAAAGCAATAAATAGAGTTCTTAAATTCATTTACTGTAAAGATTATTGATTTCTTACACTAATATGTGTTAGGATATACAGTCTGTTCCATTTATTATAATTCCTTTACATGATCTGATTAACTGGCCTTAATCTAGGTTAACTGGCAACAAGAAGTCCAGGAAAGACTTGAAGTTCCGTAAAGGCTCAAATACACTACACGTGGATGTTAGTTGCCAAAAGAGATCCATTCTGCAGATTTTGGGAAGTTGGAGTTGACAGATTTTCTAGGTTAAGGCTATGATTCTATCCAGTTGGAGGATATCAAACATGTTTGATAGTTTGAGCTGATTTTAGAACACTTACGTATTGGCCACGTGCACTGCAGCTAAATTCGGTTCAATTCTTTTAGTGCTTGAGCATGTTCTCACAGTTAATGTATGGCAGTGATGACCGCGTTCTACAACCGATTTTACTCCTGAAAAATCCACATTTAGCCTACAGAAATTCTATGCAGTGTGTACGGAAATGAACTGAACAATTGTATTTAAACATATCAGAAGTTGTGTTTTTCTCTGTAAGCGCAGTGAAAGAAATCACAGGGTTACTGTACTGTACATTCTTACTCGTTAGGGTTGCCAGATCTTGAATATAAGCCACATACCAAAATATAGCAATTTGCACCTGCCTACTTTATTAACTCCATAAAATGGATCACTTTATGAGCCGAGCCAAAAATACAAGCCCAGAGACACTTAATAAGTATTGCTTATTACTAAGTGGACATGGCAACCCTTCAAGAGCACTCTCCGCTACATAGCTTTCCAAACATAAACAAAACACGATGGCTCTGTTGACGGTGGTTTAAAATTGCCATAATACATAATGAGTCTTTTGTCGCTGTGTCGGTCTCATTTACACTGCTGGGGTAAGGCTCTGTGCCTGCTCAAAATTCTGTGTAAAGACGCAATACCATATAAAAGCCAGACTAGATTATGCTTGCTCTGACCCACCTCAGGGCCTAGTGTCAATTTATACAATTTTTGTGTAAATGTGTAAAAATACTTTAATCTTCCGAACACAACAAACTCACGCATCTCTCGTGGCTAGTGACAAATGAGGGGAAAAAAATGTTTATAAATATGAGCAAAATCGTACCGTGTATTCCAATCTTAGAAGAGTCCGCTGATGATTCAGTAACCGCCTTGATGGTTTCAGTGTGTTCACTCGTGAATTTGAGTCTGAATCGAGTCATTTTGCTGTGAACCGCTGTATGATTTGATTTACCAAATAGAACAATTTCATAAAAAAATCCTTTTTTTTTTTTAGCTCTTAGAATCTGCATAATCTAATCGCGTTATGTTTTCGACTGATTTGCCCCTGGAAGTGCGGTGACTGTTAAATCCTGAAACACGTTTTGTGTTATAAAAAGTTTGTTGAACTGCCGAGAACAGCATTTGTGTGCGTATACAACCGAAGACGAACGCAGAAACACTGGGCTATTTACAAGTTCATCTAAACAGCACACCAGTGGAGAACACCAGCATCCGTTTCAGCAGTTACCATGGTCACCAATTGCACACTTATTGTGATACAGTTTGCGTTTGCAGGTACATCTTCATAAGCCAAGAATATTGCACTGTGTCTGATGTTCTGCCTAATTTAATTAAAGAGAACAGCTCGCCCTTTCAAATCAATCTAAACATAATTGAAAAGGTGCTCTACCTTGTCTATTACACGACATTTATTATGCACAACACAGAAAATGATGGCATGAAAGTAATATTAAACAATTTATATGAATGTTTTAATGTTCGACACATGTCGGTTTATTGACAGGGGACTACATTTGAATGTTGAAATCTCTTTTAGCTGAAGTTGCTTACAGCAAGACTGCCTTCCTGGTTCAGTGATGCCCTCTGGTGACTGCAGGTAATATGTGTTTTACCTGTTTTCATGTCAGAATACTGTGCTTTAGTGTAACTAGAACATTTGCTGGGTTGTTTCAACCCAACTGTGGGTCAGATATGGACTAACACAAATTCTGGGTTAAAAATGTTATGTAAAAATTTAACTCATCAGCTGGTTTAGTCCATATTTGATCCAAAGTTGGGTTGTAACAACCCAGCATTTTTTTTTAGAGTGGAGAAATTATAAGTAAATGTTAGTTTAGCATCACTAGCTTATTTAAACTCTGGATGCATGCAATCTTTAATTTATAGAGGAAGAGTTTTATGGATGAAATGTTTGGCTGCCCTCAGTCTCCCTCCTCTTCCTCTCTAGATATTTTGCAAGTACAGACTGTAGATGGATTTAACTGGAAACTGTATGAAAAAGTACAATTAAAATGGAAACAAAATGGCTAATGTGGTAAGAAAAATAATTTGAGATCTATATTAAACAATTTATATGAATGTTTTAATGTTCGACACATGTCGGTTTATTGACAGGGGACTACATTTGAATGTTGAAATCTCTTTTAGCTGAAGTTGCTTACAGCAAGACTGCCTTCCTGGTTCAGTGATGCCCTCTGGTGACTGCAGGTAATATGTGTTTTACCTGTTTTCATGTCAGAATACTGTGCTTTAGTGTAACTAGAACATTTGCTGGGTTGTTTCAACCCAACTGTGGGTCAGATATGGACTAACACAACTTCTGGGTTAAAAATGTTATGTAAAAATTTAACTCATCAGCTGGTTTAGTCCATATTTGATCCAAAGTTGGGTTGTAACAACCCAGCATTTTTTTTTAGAGTGGAGAAATTATAAGTAAATGTTAGTTTAGCATCACTAGCTTATTTAAACTCTGGATGCGTGCAATCTTTAATTTATAGAGGAAGAGTTTTATGGATGAAATGTTTGGCTGCCCTCAGTCTCCCTCCTCTTCCTCTAGATATTTTGCCAAAGTACAGACTGTAGATGGATTTAACTGGAAACTGTATGAAAAAGTACAATTAAAATGGAAACAAAATGGCTAATGTGGTAAGAAAAATAATTTGAGATCTATTTTTAAAAACAGTATTGCTTATTAAAGGAATAGTTTACCCCAAAATATGAACATTTGCTGAAAATGTACTCACCCTCAGGCCATCTGAGATGTAGATGTTTGTTTCTACATCAAAACAGAATTGAATAAATTTAGCATCACTGTACATCACTTACTCTCCAATAGATCCTCTGCAGTGAATGGGTGCCGTCAGAATGAGAGTCCCAACAGCTGATAAAAACATTGCAATAATCCACAAGTAATCTCCAGTCCATCCATTCTTGTGAAGAAAAAAGCTGCATGTTTATAATAATAATAAGAAAAAGAAGAAGAAAGTACTACTATAATACAAAAAAAAAATAATAATAATACTAAAAAGAAAAAAAATCACTGCTTCTAGCTAAAATGTGAGTCCTCTATCCATAAAAGTTTAATTTATTCCTTTAATAAGTAAATGTATTTTGTTTTTAGGATATTGCACTTGAAAACAAGACAAAGTACTGATTTTTGCAGTAGACATACAGTATATCTCAATGTCCATTTTATATGCATTGCCATAATCACACTGTTGCTCTGATTACCTAAAGCACAAGCCTTAATTTATGTTTATTAGTACATTCGCCATAGCTAGCGATTCATGTTCATATCATAGCAATATTGAACCCTTATTCTTGTAATACTGTATTAATATGTAAATATAATACTGCATCATACACTCATGTGATTAACTTAAATGCATCATCTTTATTGTCAGCTGTGGAAGAGTTGAATTTAACAATCCCCATTTGCTTTTGTGACTGAATGTTATGTTAGTAGTGAGAAACAGACATTTCGCATTTGGAAACATTTACGTATACATCTAGATGAATTTGGGAATCAGTCTAGACCTAAAAGTAAGATTATTGCTAGTAATAGCTAACAGTCACAGTAATACATACATATTGTGTTCCTGTAAAACCTTTATCAAAACCTGCAGGTAAACAAACACTGGTGACTGCATAAATAGACCTCTGATTGCACTCACTATGGTTACTGTATCCATGGAGACCACAAGGCCACCTCACATCATGGCAGTCTAATGAAACCCAGTATAAATCTTTACAGTAAAGTCTGGCTTTGTTTGGATTTTGCATCAACAGACCATGACTAGTGTTTTCCATAAAAGAAAACTGGCTACAAAATAAGCAACAAATAAACATTATGCCAGTGAAACTTTAATAAAAAAACAACAACATACAAATGCAAATAAAACAATAAAAAAGACATAAATAATAATGGTAGGATCAAAGGTCTACTACACCTAAAGGTGCCATAGCCAAAAACTTTCCTGTGATGGAACAAGTGCAGACTCGTTTCTTAAAGGGGTCATATGATGTTGCTAAAAAGAACATTATTTTGTGTATTTGGTGTAATGCAATGTGTTTATGCGGTTTAAGGTTAAAAAAACACATTATTTTCCACATACTGTACATTATTGTTTCTCCTCTATGCCCCGCCTTTCTGAAACGCGTCGATTTTTACAAAGCTCATCGGTCTGAAAAGCGAGGTGTGCTGTGATTGGCCAGCTATCCAGTGCGTTGTGATTGGCCGAATACCTCAAGCGTGTGACGGAAATGTTACGCCCCTTAACATACTGTGATGCAGAGTCCCAGCGCGACAAGACAAAACCAACAAAACGCATTACAAATGAGGCATTTGTAGCATCCAGTGGGCACATAATTACTGATTATAATAACTTATACTGTCTTTTTAGGCGTTGCGTTGCATATCGCGCTGCATAAACATGATGTCTGCATTTGTGATCTGAGGAAGAGAAAGGAAAGATTGAAATCGCATCATATGACCCCTTTAAAGTCTCCCATTCCACTTTTCACTGTCGAATATTAATATAATAAAAAATGTATTTCAAGTAACAATGTCTTGCCAAGGTTGAAAAAAGTGAAACAAACAGAAAGCAGTACAAATACAAATATACGCAGTCTATAGCAAAATGTGTAAAACAATCAATATAAGCTGGTATTTCAAAAAAACTGTTAGAAAGATGACCTGACAGCAATTTCACAGATACATATTGCTTAATAGCATGTGGTTTTAAATTAACTACAGACTACAGTCTGTATCACTAAGAAAATCCAATATTTTTCATAACAAGGCATAGAAAACAAGGCATAAGGCATAAACATAGTGCTGTCTGCCTGAACCTTTTACAAACAGCTTTTACAGACACAAATCAAATACAATAAATAAACCAACAACAACCAAACTTTGGTACAACACAAGACATTATCACCCGTCCAAATACTGCAGAACGGTTCTCAGATTGTGAAATCGTTACAAAAATGACATTTATTTGCAGTGTAGTGTTGTGGTGTAAAGTCTTCCACGTCTATACAAAAAACAATACAGCTATCTCATAAAACTTGATGCTTGAAAACATTGTTTCTCTAAGACTGATGACACATGGCACTGAGGACTCCACCATCTCCATATATTTCAATACCATCCGTACAGTAAACAAAATGAATCTAAAAGGAACCCTAGGAATTGTGAATGCAGATCCAGAGCCTCCTAAAGCAAGGCCACAAATAACAAGCCTAAGGACAGTCCTTTAATCATTTGCTAAGAGTTCTTCAGTGTAACGTGCTGAGTAAAAACACTGATCTGATATGTTCAGTGTAAAGTACGCTTCAGTTATTTGTAATTACGGAGTGTGGGAATTCATCTGCTGGACAGCAGTTAATCTTGTAGTCGTGCTTCAGGCAACCGTTGGTACTTTGTCATAGTCGTTAATGCATTCTGTGTCTGGCGTGCTGGTTTCCTCTTGGTTGTTGTTCCTACAGCACACGGCAGCGAGGAAAAGGCCAGCTCCTCCCAGCAGCACGAAGCTCCCGCTGAAGTAGAACGCCAGGTCGTAGGAGTGCATCCAGTCGTAAATCCAGCCTGGAGACACAACAAAACAAATGGTAGAGTCAACTACTGTATTGTGCTGTTTGTAGCTGTACAGGTAAACATTCTGGATCCGTACACTTCTGTCTACATATTAAGAATTCATTGAGAATGCCATTTTATTTCGAATTCAATTCCTGAATTGATGCTGCATCATAATTTGAATTTATAGAAGCAGCATTACTGTAAATGGAATGAAATTCAAACAGCAAATTTTTAATTGCTGTAGTTTTTAGTAATACATTTAATTTTTTTCATTACGGTTCACGTTTAAAATGTCACCTGGGTCAGTGACAAATTCCGAAATAAAGAAAATAATCTTTTAACAATATAGTTTTTAAAATCTATAAAGTATAAAAAGTAGGGGTGTAACGATACACGTATTCGTATTGAACCGTTCGCTCAACAAGTCAGCCCAAACAATGTAACAGGCACCGTGCTGTCTGCCCAGTGGCGTAGCGGACGGTCACGCAATAACCTCCCCGTGCTGGGTGCTTTGAAAAATCATGATCTTGTATCGACAATAGCCAGAGATATTGTCAAAAATATCAATTATTGGCAATATTAAGAGGATATGGCATTTCCAATTAATGTAGGCCTGTTAGCCTACATTCTTATTTTTATTAGGTCTATTATTATTACGAAGTTACTTTTATTATTAAATTAAAATTACAATTAATTTGCCCCGCAATATTAGGCTACCGCATAACTGAGGCACTGTGAGGATAACAAAAGATTAGGCTATTTACTCCTCAATTAAAATGTTTAAAAAAAGGTATTTTAAAACAGGTCTATTATACAATGAATTATAGGCCTATAATTAAAATATTAACACTGCAGTCATCAATAAAAATCAATGAAATAAAAAGCTTTAGCCTATTTCAAGCACTGACTTTCAAAAACAACCCGTTTAACACGAAATACATTTCTTCTCATTTTTTTTCACTATGCACGGGCCACAAGAGAAATATTAAGGGAATAAATGAAAACAGTAAGCTATACCGTTATCAGCATATGTTGAAGTAGATTCGTCTCGTCGTCTCTGAG